AGAGGGGAGAACACTGGGACACCGAATTGTGCAGCCCAGGGAGAGGAGACCCCAGATGGAGCCTGGAGAGGGGAACACCCTGGGGAGGGGGAGCCCCTGGAGCTCCCCGCAGGCTGGAGCAGAGTCAGGGGAAAGGGGAACACCGGGACCCCCGGCAGCACAGAGAAGGGGCAGCCCCAGAAGCCCAAGGATGGAAGAGCAGAGAGGGGAGACCCTAAGGATTCCTGGGACCCCTGCCAGCCTGGAGAGGGTGAGGACCCCAAAGAGGAGAATCCTCAATACTTGAGAATTTCCAGAAGTCCAAAGTGAAGAGACCAGAGAGGGGGAGCTCCTGGAGGGGTTTTTTGGGAGGATCATGATGGATCCAAGTCTTGTGGGGGCTCAATCCTGGTATTTCTGAGGTTTTTTAAATCTTTGTGGTCTGGAGATTTTTTCTGCTGAATCCTGGTGGTCTGGAGGTTTTCATGGATACAAAATGTCTGGTGACTTGTAGAGATGGGCTTGGGCAGGAGGAATCCCAAACCAAACGCTCTCACACCTTGATTTTCTCTGGGAAACAGGATTTCCCATTCCCAAACAGTGGCCGGGTGACTGAGGAGGAGGTGGAGGCCATGAGGACGAGGAAGATGTCCCGGGAGCCCCAGGCAGGTGAGGAGGAAGCCCCTGGCCCTTTCCCCCTGTGTCCTGCTCCATGTCCCAGCCCAGCACGGCCCCCGGCTGCAGGACAACCCCCCGACCTGGGGGGATCTCCTTCCCCTTCCCTGTGGCACGGAGGCAAATCCCATCCTCTGCTTGTCCTTCCTGCCCCAGGCAAGGAGCTGAGCCCGGAGAGCAGCGAGGACAAATCCCCGCAGCAGAACCTCGTGGGAGAGGCCGTTTGCAGCGGCTCCACGGCACAGGAATGCAACGGGGAGGAAAAGCCGCGGAGATCCCGCACCAGGAGGGGCTGCAAACGCAGATCCCGGGGATCCCAGCAGGAAAGACCCGGCCTGGCCCGGGGAGGCGACCACAGCTCGGAGCTGGGGGTCCATGAGCAGGATCACGATGGGGAGAAGCCCCACAAGTGCTCGGAATGTGGGAAGAGCTTCAGGTGGAGATCTCGCCTGATCCAACATGGGACGATCCACATGGAAGAACGGCCCTACGAGTGTGATAAATGCAGGAAGAGGTTTCAGACCAAGTCCAGTCTCCTCAAGCACTATGGCAGCCACACAGAGGAGAGGCCCTATGAGTGTCCTGACTGCGGGAAGGGCTTCAAGAGAAACCCACACCTCGTCAGGCACCGGCTCATCCACACTGGGGAGAGGCCCCACGAGTGTGAGGAGTGTGGGAAGAGCTTCAGAAGGAGCTCATACCTCATTGTCCACCAGAGGATCCACAACGGGGAGAGACCCTATAAGTGTGGGGAGTGTGGGAAGAGCTTCATAGTGAGCTCCAACCTGGTT